TTTCAATGGAGGGATATGAAGAACTGCTCAGGAAACCGAGGAGGGGCAGAGAGAACCTAGTGTGAAGAGTGAGATTCATAAAGGGATGAACAAAACCGAGGAAAAACGAAGGGACCTGAATCCTGGCGGAGGGAACCGAGGAGGTACGAAGACCCAAAGCGGGGCGAAGAGACACCAACTTGGTGTGTAGCACACCCCTTTGGGTGGAAGGCACCCACGAAAAACAGAGGGGTCCTAGGGGTTACACAAATGGCCGAGAAACCACAGAGGTCCCCGAGGTGGGCGGGAAGGAAACGAGAAGTGCGGCAGGACCCGAGCAGGGGCAGAGACAGCCGAGGAGGCAGACAGGAACTCGTGGAGCTCAGAAGAGGCCAAGGAATCTTGGCAGGGTTGAGTCCCGCGGATGGAGAGAAGACCTTTAAAAGAAGACGCTTTGAAGCCTGAGGAAGAGAACCGGGAGGGGCGGAGGAACCCACGGAGGCCCAATGGACTCCAGCAGGCACTGAGGGACCTTAGGTCACCGTTTGGGAAACCCGAAGGGGCGAAGTGACCCGAGGAGGGACGGAAGGGCCGAGGAAGTACGAAGAAACCCGAGGAGGACCAGCGGCCGGAACCCCAGAGAGGTCAGGCTGCTGCGACCAAAACGCCCCTGAAGGAGCGTTGGCCGGCGGAAAAGGACGACTTCTGACAAAGACAGTCCTGTTGAGCGAGGGTAGAACTGAGTGTGGACCAGAACAGCCTGGGGTTTTGGAAGGAAGCGCGTGGGGGAGGGGTAAAGAGGAGGGCAGCAGAGAGAGAGATGAGGGGCGGGTTCCTGGGCCAGATTTGCTAGGTAAGGCAAGCAATGGGGATCGAAGGCAAGAACTTAACCAGCTTGCCTAGAGAGAGGCGCAGCAAGCGCGAGTCTGGCTGAAAGAGCTGGACTGCAGAGCAGAGGCTGACCAGGCCCCAGCGCTCAGAAGACAGCTGAGCCGTGGGCGGTGCACGTAGACTGAGATCGTGGCCAACAGAGAGAGTGTGTCTGCTGGCTGGGCAGCGAATGTGACTTCACTGCAGGAATTGAAGGGAGATGGATTTCTCTTTGTACTCTGGAACAAACAGATCCCACTGTTTGATGAGTGGCTTCCAACATCCCAGAGAACAAGGAAAGACAACAGAAGGAACCCAGAAGGGCTTTATTGAATCCTGCAGCTCAGTGAAGACCTCACAGACCAGCACACCTGCTTAGCCCACTTGATGCTTTAATCATGGTGTCCTACCTCACCCAAGCAGAAGCCCTAAAAGGAACCTAGAACTGTGACCATTCAACATGGCCTAAAAGACCATTTTTGCTATGCCTTCCCTAGTTGCATCCAGGGAGGAGATGAGGTACCACATTTCCCAGTCACCTCTCCAGGCACCACATCAAACATTCCTGCATGGAGATCCAGGTCTTGATGCACAACTACATCTTGTGGGTGGGTAGGTGGGCTGGCACCTAATATGGAGAACAAATGATGAACAAAGAGATCATCCATATTTCTGGAAGTTTAGTGAGGATATAAACATGAGAAAGTAAGCTCAGGTGCCTTAGAAACCCCCAAAGAAAAGAGCTTCTCAAGTGCCAAACTGTTTCCATCCAGCACAAGCTTGTGCCCTTTGACTGACCAGCGTGATGTTTGTGTATGCCCAACAGTGATGCCCCTACATAGGCAAAGGCCAGATTGGCCTCAGCAATGAGGTCCTAGGACAGCAAGTGCTAGGCTAAAACGAGACACAACTGAGACCATGGAGGCAGGCAAAGTTGAAGCAACATTCGAGGACTTTTTTGGGCCAGGTGCGGTTGGGCCAAGAGCGAAAAAACCGTCACCGAGCAAGGGGTGAGGGCATGTTTTTAGAGGGGAATTTGGGAGGGAGTTATTGCTGAGGGGGGATGCAAAATTTTGGGTCGCTGAGTAGAGTGTCTGAGGCTCAGTGATAGGGTACAGGAGGTGCTAGCAAGCACAGCATATCTTGTGGTTTTTCATGGAACCAGCCCTGTGCAGGTTGAGCCATGTGGGGGCAGTCGCCATATTCCTGTTGAAGGCCATGGCCCCCTATGTGTGAATAACAGATCTGTTAGGGGGAGTTTTTTCTCTCCTAGTTGGGTGGGGGTCTAGTTCAAAGATCTGACACCAAGGTCTTAGGTGGAGTGGACTGTAAGGGCCTGAAGCCAGAGGAGCAGAGAGAGGAAAACCAAGCAGCCTAAGATCAGGAAAGGCAGGGAGAGGCCTGAACAGCGTAAACCTGGCTGTTTTTCCGATGCCAGTGACAAATAGATCCCAGCATCCTTATCATCCTATTCCAATGGTATGTGAATTGACAGAAGCCTGGGAAAGCAACATTCCCAATTGAAATGAGGAGGGAAGCTCATCAGGCACATACCTCAGTTCTCCCACAAAATGTGACTGCATGGCAGAACCACACTTCCATCTACAACAGTCCCAGGAAACAATCTTTCTTCTTCCCCAGCTGATGCTTAAGTCACAGTGCCCAGGTTTCAGATGGCTTGACTTTTTTCACCACTGTAACTGGGCAGATGATGTGTTCGAGTAGTAAGTTCCAAGTGGATCCACTAGACAGTGCTATTCAGAGACAGAAATATTCTGCGAGAACCCTGGACAATCACTCCATGTCACATTTGACTGGAGGAGGGGTGGCCTAGGGAGGACCCTGGGAGGTGCCTGTGGGGTGTGCATGTGTGTGTGTGTGTGTGTGTCTGTCTGTTTCAGACAAAGTCTCACTATGTAGTTCAGGCTGGCATGGAACTCACTATGTACCCCAGACCAGCCTTGAACTCATGGCAATCCTCCTGTGTCACCTCCCAAGTGCTCAGGTTACAGGTGTGAACCACCATACCTGGCTAAGCACTTGCCTGGCTGAACAACCCATCTCCTGTGTGGATTTAAGGATGACCTGCTTCTCTTAATGTACTTGGGGGTACAAAGATGAGCAGGTTGTTGGTTTTTGTAAAGAGACATGTCCTGGGGGCTGGGGATTTAGCTCAGCGGCATAAGCATCTGCCTTGCAAGCAGGCAGTCGTGAATTCGATCCCTGGTACTGATAAAAAGGAAAAAGACAAAAAAGAGAGAGAGAGAGAGAGAGAGAGAGAGAGAGAGAGAGAGAGAGAGAGAGAGAGAGACATGTCCCAAAAACAAGGTGCAATGGATGTAAAGAAAACGAGACAGACAAAGTTAGGGAACTGGGTGAGTAGGTGGGAACAGTCTCTAGAATTGAAGTCCTGATTGCAATTTTTTCTGGATTTTTATTAGAATCTTTTCTAATATCCACTTCTAAGAACAGAAGCAGATTTTGGGAGGGGAGGGTAAAGTTCAGTTAAGTGGTAACCTAATTGTTTAACGATTCCAGGGACCCTCTTTGGCTATATCGGGCCTTCATGTTTACTGTTCTTTTGGACACATCTTAGCAAAGTGTCTCATGTTGTCCCAGCAGCATGCCACTGACATTCAAAGCTCTGCATCCATTACCTTCAACACAATGCATTTGTAAGGTTTCATCCAGAGCAAACAGGTATGGCTTAGTATAGCATGAAATCCTTGGGGTGACCAAAGGTTAAATTAGTTTAAATTAAACTGTTATCCACTCAGGTGACATCAGGTCCTAAAGGACTTTGGAAAAGTTTATGATTGGATTTTGGATATTTGAGCAAAAGGAAGTGGATGGTAATGAGGTCTGCTTCCAGCCTGGTCATTAGCCCTTCGCATCATGGCTCCCACAGCAGTGGCTTGCTGGATGGCTGAACTTGGAAACTTTTTTTAGTTGGCTCTGATTGGAATGGGCTTTCTGGGATTCTCTTCTCAAAGCAGTGTTTTTCACTTCTGTTGTTGTTTTGTTTCTGGGTACCAGCGATCAAACTCATGACCTCACACTTACCAGGCAGGCTCTGTGCCACTGAGTTATATCTCCTGCCCTGTTTTTACTTTTACATCTCTGATTCTGGGGTTTTGTTCATTCCTGAGATGTCCTCAAGGCATCTATTTTATTGTACTGATGAAAATACTTATCTTTATTTTTAAAAAAATTAAAAAACTTTGGGTCTCTTTTGAGACAAGGTCTTACTCTGTGGTTCAGGCTGGCCTTGAACTCACTTTGTAGCCCAAGCTGGCCTCAAACTGGAAGCAATCCTCAGTGTTATGGTGGATATATTGTATCAACTTGAGAAGTTTAGAAGTTTATCTAAGAGACTCAGCAGAGATCCAGGATCCTTACTTCCTAGACATCCTCAACCTGTGCAAGCAAGAGGAGGGCACAGAGATTTTGTGAGTGCTATGTCTGCCCTGCAGGTGGGGTGGGGATGGCCTGCATACAATATAAAGAAGGAAAAGAGCCTGCTCTTTTCTCCTTTCTGTTCTGGCTGCTTTTGCTGGCTGCTGCCTTTGAAGCTGCCCCAATGCCACACACAGAGAGGACAGAGAGAGCCACAGACATAGAATGACAGACAGAAATGGACAGACAGAGAGACTTACAATCAGGCCAGCCAAGTTCCAACCCTGTACTGGGACGCCACTCCCTTCTCCGGTGGCTGGCATCCCCTACCATCCCATCCTGCCTGTGCAGTGACCTCAGCTTCTGGCAGAGCCACAGCCCTGGCACTGCCATACTCCTGGCATCGCTGCCCCATAGAGGCTTCCTCCAAGACAGAGGTCTACGGCTTCTAAGGGCGTCTAAGGTCTGGAGCGCTGGTGTCTGGCACAGCGCAGGCACCGGGACTGCAACTTCCTGACCGCACCTGCTCCTGACCTGCCCCATGTCCTGCCCTTCCTCGAGCCTTGGTGGCATAGACCTGGGTGCCAAGGCTGCTCTGCTCTCCCCTCCTGTCCTGCTCCAGGTTCACCATAAGGTGCCACATAGACACCCAGGAGAGGAGCAGTTGTGTAAATGAGGAGGAACACACTTTGTGAGGAAAATTATTTATTTTTTCTGGTTTGGGAATTGAACCAAAGACCTTCACACTGAGCTCCATGCTCAGCCTTCCTGCTTCCTGCTTATATTTTTGAGGTTGGGTTTCCATAAATTACTCAACCCAGGTTAGGTTCCTACTTGTAATCCTCCTGTCTTGGCCTCCCAGAGTACTAGGATTACAGGCCAGCCCCAAATGGCATGGAGCACTCTGTGGTTGTGGGACTGTGTCCTATGGTGGAAAGCCTGGTGGTGAGAGGTTCATTTGGGTCAAACCCAGGCTGCCTGGATAATACTAACACTGACCCGGGCTGATAGCTCGGGGCTGAGTGTTTGCCTGCACGTCAAAGGCCCTGGGTTCAAAACTGACCATGTGAGAAAAAACACACAGCCACCATGCTGGACATCCGGGCTTCTGCAGACATCTGAGAAGGCAGGGCAGCTGAGTGCCTTTGGGGAGGCAGGATGGGGCACCCCAGTGTGGAGTCACAGTGGGGATGTGGCCCATGCTCCATTTCCCTGATGACCTTGAAGCATAAGATGACTGCTGGGACCATGAGGGAAAGGACTTCCCTTCCTGCACATGGCCACTGTTCTCCCTTATCCCTGGGAGCCTCTGCCCAGTACACCCTGCCCAGAGGCTGAGTCCGACGGCCCCTTCTGCGTGGGGCAAGTCCCTCATGCGGCCCAGCCCTGCCTTCCCCAGGGTGAAAGAAGTCAGAACAGGGATCTCAGAGGACACGTGTGTTTCCTGAGCTTCCTCCCCTGTGGCTGTCACTAGCCTGGCCCCAGGTGTCCTCCCTGGCATCCATCACAGGCGGGTAGACCCAAGGCCAAAGGCTCCCAGGAGTACGTGACCCTTTGGAGCAGAGATGCTGCTGCTGGCCCTGCTGCTGCCCCTGCTGTGGGCAGGTGAGTCTGGGGAGCACTGGGGCTCCCCTCTGGGGGCTGGGATGGAGCTGAGCCTCTGTGTCCCCTCAGGGTCCTTGCAGGAGGAATCAAGCTACTGGCTGCTGGTACAGGAGTCGGTGAATGTGCTAGACACACTGTGTATCCTGGGTCTTGCTTCTTCTCCTACCGCCAGGACGGCTGGAAGCCCTCCACCTCCCCTTACGGCTACTGGTACCGGCAGAGGGACACTCACAGAGTCGACCACAAAACCGATGAACTTGTGGCCACGAATGACCCCAGCAAGAAAGGTGCAGTGACAAAGAAACATCATTTCCAGCTCCTCGGGGACCCTGGGGCTCACAACTGCTCCCTGAGGATCGAAGGTGCCCAGAGGGGGCACAGTGGGCCTTACTGTTTTTGAGTAGAGCGAGGAGCAATGCAGTACAATTATGTGAGTCAGATGCCACCATAACTGTCACAGGTAAGCAGCCTGGAAGAGGCGTCCGTGCTCGGGAGAAATCCAGAGACATGGAGGTTGGAGGGTCCTGGAGTGTGGGATGCCAGGACTGAGGGGTCTGTCTCCGAGATGCCTGCGCTGTCCTGACCTTGTCTCCTGCCCAGAGCTGACACAGACCCTGGACATCCACATTGCAGAGGTGTCTGGTCACCTCAGCTGCCTGGTGTGCTCCATGTCATGAGGCCCAGGTTCTCCTGGACGGGGAATGCTCTGACACTACCAGGATGGAGTTTGGGTTTCCACACCATCTTAGAGATCCTGCTCAGGACCCACCCTCAGGAGCATGGCATGCCTCTCACCTGTCGGGTGACCTTCCCACAATTCATGTGACCAAGGAGAGGACTGTCAAGCTCAGTGTGTCCTATGAGTTCGGGGCTAAGATACTGGGGATCATAGTGGGGGTAAAAGGAAGGGGGGGGGGCAATGGTCAGCGTGTCTATGTCCCCCAGATTTATAGACTGAATCCTGAGCCCCAGGTGAAGGTGACTGAGGCCTGGGAGGCGGGTGGGGGGCAGCTTATCAGCCTCCCACACAGGACTAGTGCACCTGTACCAGGGCCCAGAGAGACCCTGTTCCTCCCAAAGAGTGAGGCACAGAGAGAAGGCACCATGGATGAGGCTGGACACTGATCTCACCTGTCCCTGTGTCTGCCTGTGCCTGCACCTTGGGCTGGTGGCCTCCTCAACTGCGGAGATCAGTTCCTGTCACTGATCAGCCGCCAGCCCGTGGGCTCTGTTGGAGCAGCAGGGGGACTGTGGAGAGCAGCTGGGCTTTGGTCCCAGGTTGCAGAGCAGAGCCATGGGGACACCAGCCCACGCTGTGCCACTTCCCCTTTTGTTTCTGGTGGTTCCCAGGGTGGTGGTGAGGAGGACGGGCCAGCTGCGTACCCAGCCCTCACTGTGCCTCTCCTTCCAGATCCTCCTCAGGGCTCGACCCTGCGCCTTACTGGAGCAGGTGGCACAGGTAGGCGGCAGTCCCTGCCCAGGCTGCATGGGAGCGGGTCTCTGTCCATGGGAACCGAGGCACCGAGGTGGGAAGTGTGGAAGGGGCCCATGCGGAAAGCTGTATCAGGAACCACTGCCCTGGCACAATCCCAACCTGGCCTTATCTGGGAGCTGTAGTGGCCCCTGGGTGACGTCTACAGCCAATGCCACTGTGAAGATCCCCCTGTAGCCCCCTTTCCAGGAAGCTGCTTCTCCACCTAAAGCACCACTTCCGGGGGCTCCAGACTCTGCCAGTGCTGACTCGGGCGCCCTGGGAAGGGGCTGAGACTGTGCGTTTCTAATCGGGCCCTGGCGGAGAGACCCACGGTGGGTAATGAGGCTTGGTGCTGTCCACCCCGAAGCATAACTGGAGTCCGAGGATGGTGTCCATCCCACAGCACTAACAAAATGCCAGGAGCAAATCCTGGGGGCCCCGGGCAGAGTGGCATTCAGTGTGGGGAAATATCCTAAATCAAGGTGTCCATCCCTTCCCGGGATAGAAGTGACCAGAAGAGGCACTGGTCCAGGCTCAGCTCTGTCTGTGCCTCTGCCTCTCTCCATTCCTCTCCCCCACCACAGCCCACTGTTCAGTCTGTCTCAGCCTCTGCTTCTCTCTCCAGGCCTGGACTACAAGGGAAATAGATCCTATCTGCAAGTCTGGAAAGACCAGCTTCTGCAGCTCCTCTGTGCTGCTGACAGCCAGCATCCTGCCACGCTGACCTGGGACTTGGGGGCAGAGTGCTATCTTGGTCCCCTCCCTCAGAACCCAGACCCCTAAAGTTGGAGATGCCCAGGGTGAAGCCTGGGGACGCGGGGCGCTACACCTGCCGAGCACAGAATGAGCTGGGCTCCCAGCGTGGCACCCTGAATCTCTCAGTACAGTGTGAGTGACCAGAGCCACCTGTTCTGAGAGGGACAGAGAGGGGGTAGGGGCAGAGCTCTGAGGGGGCTGGGACCCCAGGGCTTCAGGATCTGGCTTCTCATCTGCGTGCATGGATGGGCAGTTTGTGTTGGCGACCCGGCGGATGACGGTTCCTCCCTCCTCCTTCTCCTGGATGGATCCTCTGCCCAGAGGGAGCCCTAACCCTTCCAGAGCCGCTTCCCTGTCTACATTGCAGATCCTCCTGAGGACCTGAGAGTGACAATGTCCCAAGCAAACAGCACAGGTAGGAGAGGGACACAAGAACTAGGGCCTTGTGCTGCCCAGCTGGTAGAACCTGACACGGATTCTGCCTCTTCCCTCCCAGTCCTGGAAATCCTCAAGAACGGCACATCCCTGCCTGTCCTGGAGGGCCAGAGCCTGCGCCTGGTGTGTGTTGCCCACAGCAACCCTCCAGCCAGGCTGAGCTGGGCCTGGGGAACACAGACCCTGCGTCCCTCTTGAGTCTCAGCCTCTGGGGTCCGGGAGTTGCCCCAGGTGCAGATGGAGCATGAAGGGGACTTCACCTGCCACGCAGAGAACCCGCTGGGCACCCGGAGTGTCTCTCTGTGCACTGTGAGTGGGGAGGGGACCCATGGGACCTGGGAATAGGGACACCTGTGACTCCCCTTCTCCCTCCCACAGTTGGTCCCCAATTGCTGGAACCCTGGTGCTTCCAGGAGGCTGAGGGTCTGGGCTGCCGCTGATCCTCCCATGCCCTGCTCCTTCCCTGGGCTGGCGGCTCGGGGAGACGCTGCTGGAGGGGAACAGCAGCAACGCCTCCCTCACGGTCTCCACCATCTCTGCCGGCCCTGGATCAGGGCGAGCCTCCATGACAGGCTGAGCCCTGGCCTTGGGTTCAGCTGCGAGGCACAGAATGTGCCCGAGGTCCAGAACGCCACTGTCCTGCTGCTCCCAGGTGAGGGGCCAAGGGATCCAATCTTCAGGAGGAAAGAGGTGACTCTGGGACTGATGGGGGAGACCCATGGAAACGGGACATATAGGACACAGGGCTCCATCCTATGCTGGCTCTCGATGAAGAACATCTGAGCTGCAGGTGTAAGCAAAGGCTGTGGAGGGTAGCAGGGACCAGGCCCTCACCCTGAACCCTGCTGTCCACAGGACACCCAGGCCGTGGGGCAGGATTCCCACAGGGGACCATGCTAGGAGCTGGCGTCACTGCCGGGCTCTCTCTGTGTGCCTGCCTCATCTTTTCCAGGTGAGAGGGGTGCAGGAGGGTCGGCAGGTGTGGAGGCCCGGCCTGGTCTCCACCCCACGAAGGCTGTGTGCAGGGTCTGGCCGGGCTGTGGTGGCGGGAATCGGCCTAGCGTCTGTGCCAGCCCCTGACCCCAGCCCCTGTAAGGTGTCTGCTCCGCTCTCCGGGAGCCTCCCATTGGATGGGTCCCCGCCTGCCAGACCTCATTCGGCCCACTAGCATCTTTCAGCCAGGGACAGCAGTTCCACTGCCACTCTGAGTAGCAGAGTCTGCTGCCTCCCGCCCTCCTCACTCAGGATGAAGACTCGCAGGCAGCAAGACAGCAGGATGGCCGCTGCGAGGAAGGGCGCACCGCCTGGCCCTGCTTCTGTGTCCAAGGTGAGTGAGGAGCGTCTGTGCACCTGAACCCCAATGGTCACCTCCCTAAGATGACTGTGACCATATCCTCCACGATGAAGCAGAGACACCTGATGCCCAAATGGGCTTTGATTGCAGGGTCCCGTGGCGCAGTCCCACAGCAGCAGCCAGAGCCTCCCAGGGGCTGAGCTCCCTCTGGTCCCTCTCAGCCCAGGCTGCCCAGGCCTCACCCACTGCTGGGCTCACATCCTACTGGGCCCTTTTCACTCGTGTCCCCTCATTTCCCTCTGGACCCCGAGCCCCTCTTTTCCTTCCTGTGTCTCCCCTGCAACAGAGATCCCAGGGATCCCACAAAACACTCCTGTCTGCTGCAGACCTTAGGGCTCTTGGACCCCTCCATCTGAAACCACCTGCACGGAGGGCTCCCTGAGCCACACTCAGGTCTGGGGACTCACTAGAGGGGCACCCCAAGCTCCCGGGGCTGTGGCTGTCACTGTGAGATCAGATGAGAGTTGGCTAAGGGAAGAGGTGCAGGGCCAGGGTGTGCAGGGAGCAGGGCTGAGCTCAGGGTGTCCTCTCCTGCAGAGGGACACAGAGAGTGCTCAGCCCTCTCAGCAGCAGTGTGACAGCTGTAGACAGACATGCCCACAGGGAAGCCACCCGAGCCTGCTGTCCAGGGTCTCTTGGTAGCCCGTCACACTGACAGTGTGCACACACGTGGCTGACCTCAGTCCCTTCACATCCAGATCCTCCAGAGTTCAAACCGATGCCATGGGGCTTATGGTGGTCTCCACAAATGCCACTGTTATCACAGCCCAGCTGGCCTAGCAGACAGAGGTGCTCCTGCTCAGCAGGACTCAGTCAGGGCTGCCCTCAGCTGTCCCCTCCTCTGTGTCCCGGGCTCACAGCACAGCTCCCCACTGTGTGTGCCTGAGCCCTGCACCCAGAGCCGCCCCAGGGCTGTGAGGCTGAGCCAGTGCCTGATCGTGTGCCCCGCTCACTCCTGTGCAGCCTGTCCCAGCTGCTGGGAGACAGGGGCTCATCTGAAGGCCAGTTACTTCCTGTGTCCCTGCACGCTGCTGGCTGGGTGAGGGGCCGCGTGGGTCTGCTCCGCTTTCCCGATGATGTGCAGGGCCAGGATAGGGCAGCTGTGCCCCTGGGCAGCAGGGTTCTGGCTGGAGGCTAGGCCTGACTGCTAGTTACAGGTGTGGTGTGGGAATCTGTGCTTAGCCTAGGTTTATCCACCTGGGAGATGCTATGGCAGTGACCTACAGGGACTTCTTAGATTTTGTGAAGTGGGCAGTCAGTTACTAAGAGGAATTTATCGTTACTAACAAGCATTTACATAATGGATGTGAATGAACCAATGATGCGTGGATGGATGAGTGAACCGTGGGGGCCCATGGTTATGAAGTGAGCAGAGGAAGAGGACGGGCTCACTTTCCTGGTTGGCCTCTGTCTCCTTCTTTTTCTCATCATCCCACTCCATGCCCTTCCCCCTTCCCATCAGGGTCACAGCCAGGACAAGTGTCCAGGCAACTTGGACAGCCCAGCCCCTTCTGCAGGAGTGAGCAGCCCCGGCAAGGAGCAGGAGCCCCACTACAGCACCCTCAGCTTCCAGGAGGACCCCAGCACCTCGGAGTACTCAGAGCTCAGGCTCTGATGTGCAGGCCAGCAGCTGAGCCTGGGCTTCTCTGGAAGGTGACATACGGTACATTGCTTGAATCAGCCGATCTCCATGTCACCAGGGTCCTGACCAGCAGAGGGGACTCTCTCCCTAACAGCAGAACTCACCTCCCACTTCAGCCCAGACTTTGTGCAGGTTGCTTTACTCTGGGGTCTCCTCCTCTGTTAAATGCACATGATCACTGACTCGCAGGGCATTGTGGGTAGAGGGAAGGGATTCCCTACAGCACCCTGGCAGGGCCTGTAGAAGGCATCTCACCTGGGGCTGCCTCCCATGGCCTCCACCAGGTGTGAGCCCACCTGGCCAGTGGGGCTCTGCAGGGCAGCTCTCACTGCTCTGCTCTGCAGGCCCTGCCCTCTGGGGTTCAAGCCCTGCTGTGCCTCCTCCCTTTCAGTGTGGCTGGGACTTGAGATTTGGTTTTAACTCAGGAATGCAGCAATGCGGAAGGGAAGCGAGCCCTGTGATTAAATTGTATAAGAGCCTCGCTTCTGTCTTGCTGTCTTTGCTTAAGCAAATTGGCATGATGTCAGTGCTCACAGAGAGAGGAGCAGGGCCCAGGCCTGAGGGTGGCCTCAGCCAAGACCTTCAGTCCTGTGACCCACAGCAAATGAACCCTGCCCACAACCATGAGAGGTGGGAAGCACATGCCTGCCCATTCAGTTTCCTCAGGGGAAACTGTAGCCCTGGCCTGTACCTTCAGCATGGGTTTCCTTTCCTGAAACCCTGACCTGATAGGCAGGGCCTGATTCCTCCCTGCAGAAGTGGTGGGCTGATAAACACATGTGGTCTTAGGTTCCCGAGTTCTTATTATTTCTTATGCAGATATGGTAACCAGCACTGATATCTTTGCTGGTTTATAAACTCTGGCAGGTACCACCTCACTGAAAAGGTAAGAATAGAGCAGGATCCTGCAGGAAGAGAGGAGGGGAGGCAGCCATGCAGCTCTAGCTGAGGCCTGGGAGAGGAGGTGAGAGAAGAGGCTGTGTGAGGACCTGGGCCTGTAGCACGCTAGCTTGGCTGAAATGGAGGTGAGAGGAAAGAGCGGTGGTCAAGGTACACACTTATAATCGTAGCACTTGAGAGACTCTGGCAAGAGGATTGTGGGACTTTAAGGTCATCCTGGGCTACAAAGTGAGGAGCCAGTACACACCGGCTGGCCTCTCTGTTTGGCACTCTGGTACCACAAGTTCGACCCATCTACCTGCCTGTGTTTCAGCATAGAATGCATTCAGATGCTCATCTGGGCACTCAGCGGCACAAGCTCTTACTTGGCAAGTGCAAGGTCATGAGTTTGATTCCTGGTATTAAAAAAAAAAGATTGTCATCTGATAGTTGGACTGAGGCCTGAGAATCAAAATTTTGAGCCCATCTTGGGCAACTGAAGATTTAGCAAGACCTTGTCTCAAAATAAATACAATTTTCAAAGGACCGGGGTAGAGTAGCTCAGTGCAGAAGCATTCCAGCACCCCAGAAAGGGGAAAAAGAAGGCTCTCATCTTAAGAAACAAATCTAGTGGCCATTCATGGACTGTGAGGAAAGAGAACCAGGCTTCACCAGGAGGTGACCCCACCTGGAAATCAGTGCCATGGGTGGCTGCTGCCAGAGTGGAGACAGCCAGACCCAAGCCTCTTGCTCTGAGTCGGCACCATTCACAGACTGCAGAGGGAGAGATCCACGCCTCACCAATAGGTGATCCCTGCCTGGAAACCATATCATTTTTATTGTTTTGTTGGGTTGGGTTTTATTCTCTTTTGTTTGTGTATGTTAAATCTGAGGTCATGAGCAGGTATTTAAAAGACAGCAAGACATTATGGTAGCCATTTTGGATTTACTATTGGCTTGTTTTGAAGTCCTTTATTGCATTCATTGTTTTATCTTTATTGTTTCTATTCTGTTCTGTTTTGTTTGATTTTTACTATGTCCAAAGGTATCTGCAGCTATTTTGAAAACAACAAAGACATTATGGTAACTATTGCTGATTTTGTAAGGTTAAAGTACTGTATCAGTTATACTGGTTTATTTTAATTGGTTTTATTCTGCTTTATTTCCTTTGGCTTTATCTTCTTTAAAATTAAAAAAAAAAGATGAGTTTAAGGACTGGCCAAATGCATAGTAAAACTCAGTCTCATTAAAAAAAAAAGAAATAACCATTGCCAATCACGTAAACAATAAAATGCTGATATAAATAAGGGAGAAAAATAAACAAATTATTTGACATAACCACAAGTAAAAAGACAAAATGCGAAGTACATACATACTTTTAAGTCTTAATACTGAATGTAAATGGTTTTCATTTTCTAACTGAAAAAAATGCAGCCTGGATAAATGAATGAAAACCAGAAGACCTACCACATGCTTCCTGCAAGAAACTCTCATCACCTACTCATGCACAGACACCTACTCATGCAAGAACGGAAGGTGATTTTAACAAATGGAACCCAACTCAACATGGAACAACTACACCTGTATCTAACAAGAAGCTTTAAGACAATGTCACTTGAAAGAGACAAAGAGGGTCATGATGTCTGGATTAAGGGATCCATTTTCTACAAGGATATAACAATTATAAATATATGACATGAAGCATTGTAGCACTGGTTTTGTAAAGCCAGTACTACTAGACATAAAGGAAGCATCAGCCCCCCCAAAACAGCATCAGTGAGGGAAGTGGCTCAATACCCCACTCTCCCAAATAAAGCACTCACTCAGAATAAAATGAGCAAAGTAATGTCAGAATAAAACTATATTATAGCTTAATGGACTATGTAGACATCTACAGAATATCCCCTCTCAGCTGGAGCGTGTATACTCTTTCTATCGACACTTCCCTTCCCTCAGCTTCCTGACCACCATGATGTATGTGTGCAGCTTCCTCTACTAGGCCCCTCCGTCACACTGTTTATGCTTCAGAACCAGTCGACCACGTCCCCAAGCTACTGAGTCTCTGAAACAGAATAAAGCTCTCCTCCTTTAAGTTGCAGGGTTTTCTCAGGGAAGAAAAAGCAACTAACCTTGAAATTGGTACCAGGAGTGGGACTATTATTACTGTGACTGTTCCTGACCATAGAGTTCAGAAAACTTTGGAATTGGTTTGTAGGAGGAGTTTGGAAAAGTTTGTGGAGATGAGGGATAGAGAAGCCCCAAAAGACTGAGAATAGTGTTTGATCTTAGATACTGGTCATAGCTCATAAGACCAGAATGCTCACAGGAATGCAGAACATAAACCCTACACGCAAGTTTTTGGTTTTAGTGGGGAACAAGGTTTTTACTAGAGAGAATGTTTATGCTCCAGCTGTGTCTTGCTGATGCTTTGAGGCTTTGTGAGAGACTCAGAATAAGAGCAGTGTACTAATTCATCTGGTACAGGAAATTTCAAGTGATTCTAATGTTTGGGCTGTGGTCTGAGCATTTCTGTGTTCCTTTATCCTGATCTGTACAGAACTAGAGGGAAACGGCAGAGGTAGCTGCATGAAAAGTGTGCTTTGTTAGAAGGGCAGAAGTGAAAATGTTTGCTAAGATCATACAAAGACTTGATCTCAAAGTGAAAAAAACAAAGTGAGAAAGAAAGAAAGAGCTGGGCGTGGTGGTGCACTCCTGTAATCCCAGCACTCAGAAGGCTGAGGCAGGAGGATCGTTGCAAGTTCAAGACCAGCCTGGGCTACAGAGAGAGCTCAAGACCAGCCTAAACTGCATAGCAAGACCCTGTCTCAAAAGAAAAAAAAAAAAAATAAAAGGAAAAGGCAGATAGAAAAGAAAGAAGAAAGAATGAAAGAAGGAAATGTAAAACAGGACAGTGGTTACCAGAGACTGGGGACAGTGAGTGTAGGGGATAAAATGTCTTCTTACACTGTACAGAGTCACAAGTAGACAGGAAAGTTGTTGAGATTGATTCCATGGCTTAGTAACAGGCAATAATAATATCTACATGCACTGGTACCTTGGTTCATGAACCTCATTCATTCCATGATTCTGGGGAAGATGGGGGCATTTATGTTCATCACACAAGGCAGGGTTTGCAACCCGAAGTAAAATATGGCAGGATGCTTCTGTTTGTGCACTGAATTGTCTATGAGCAGCAGTGTTTGTGAACCGAGGTATTACTCTAGATCAAAAGTGGTAAAAGAGACTTCCGGGAGAACATGGCGGTAGATAGCAGCAGCTATGGAGGCTCTCTGAGATACCTCACTTAAAATCCAGGAATGATGAGGTATGAGGCATCCTAAGCAAGGATAGATACACCCTGTTGACCCAGGAATGAACTAAGCTAAGAGAAACCAACTGGAAATCCAATCCTGGTGCTGTAACAGGGACAGATAAAATCTCAGCTCGGGAAGCTAGAATCCACGCCACTGGAAGCCGAGATTTGAATTTCCTGCTGCTGTTGCTGCGCCCAAATCTGTAGGGCAGGGAGAGAGACACGCAAAAGCTCTGAGAGTGGGAATCTGTGAACTGAGTTGAGAGCAGGAGTAGCAGGGAGCCCTACATCAACTTGCAGTGAGTGAGCAGAACGGGGACCCTTTCACAGAGTAGGAGGCTCCAGCAAAGGACATACTGGGACCGGGCAGACTTGCCGGAACAGGACGGTGTAGTGACATTAGCAGCATATTCCCCTCTCAAGCAGGATTGGTGGGGAGTGCCTGGCCTGCGTGATGCCGCTAAGACCCAGTAGGCTAGCCCAAACCAGGTTCCAGCGCCTGGAAGTGCACCCTAGCAGTGAAGCCTTTGGTAAGTTGACCTGGAGGGGCGGGCCCAGCAGAGGCTGCCGAGGTTTGTGTCTCCCTCATACACTGCAGTGGGCGGGAACACCTAGCTGGTGCAATTCAAATAAACTGTAACTGACAAAGAGCAAAAATTGGGCCTCCTACGTTTGCTTGTATGGAAGGAAAAAAAAGTATGGGAAGAGGAAGCAACAAGAAAGGGTCCTCAGTCCCCAATAGACATAAAGCGATATCTCCAGAGCCTCATAGACGAGTTTAGGAATGAAGTTATTAACAATCTAAAGCAAGATATAAGTAGAATAGTTAGAGAAATGCTAAGCACCGCCCAAGAAAAAACAGATGGTGGAATGGAAGAACAGAAAAAAAGGGGAGAAATGTTTGAGGAGAAAATAGAGAAAACGTAGAATACGTGAAGCAGGTTCAAAGAGATTACCAGGAAACTAAAAACTCTATTGAAAACTGGCATAACAGCTTCAAAGAAACTAAGGATAGATTATCTGAATTTGAGGGCAGATTTGTAATATGGGAGCATGAAATGAAAAACTTCTTAAAAATAACAAGAAAACAAACAGCAATAATACAAAGGCTAGAAGATGATAAGAGGATCTATAACTTAAGAATTAAGAACATAAAAGAAGAAGTAGGGACACAAACAAATGGACTACAAAAGCTATTCACAGAAATAATCCAAGAGAATTTCCCTAATTTAGCAAAAGGTACAGATACTCAGATGTATGAGGCATACAGGCCTACTCCAGCCACCTACAACCCAAACAGAGCTACACCCAGGCATATAATAATCAAAATTCCAGAAATCCAATATAAGAACAGAATACTAAAAGCCATCAGAGACAAGAAACAGGTCACATACAAGGGAACACCCATCAGAATTACAGCAGACTTCTTGGCACAAACCATCAAATCATGAAGAGTGTGGGGGGAAATAATTCAAGCTTTGAAAGATAACAACCTCCAGCCAAGATTGATATATCATGCACAACTGTCCCTAGAAATTGATGGAAAAACAAGGTGCTTCCAGGATAAAGAGGAACTAGGGGAATTTGCAACCATCAATTCAACTCTACAGAGAGTACTGCAGGATAGTCTAAAAAAGGAAAATACTAAGACTTCAGAAACAGTGGCAGAGAGGCCACAATGAATAGAGCAGAAAGTGAAATGAAGAAGACAAACTGACAACAAACAACAGAAAAAGAGCTCAACGGAAATGAGGCAGAGAAGGTTGGATGGTAGGAACAGCTATTTTGGAGAAAACAAGACATCATAATAGCTAGTGCTGATTTAGTATCATCTTGCTTTGAAGTCCCATCAAGCTTTTATTCTTCTGTATCCATCGGTCTTAACAGGTTGTATCTTATTGGATTTTATTATATGTGATAATATAAGCAAAAACTTTTATAGACAAGGAGACTATACAGAAACCATTGTTCATTTTCTGATAATTGGTTCTAAACACCTTGCAATACTGTCATTCTCTTGAATGGTTTTACATTGTCTTGATATGTTTGGTGCTACAGTATACAAAGTTATACTCAAAGATTTCAAGGAAAGAGACACTATGGTAACTACTTTTATGTCAGGATATCTTGTGGTGAAACACTATTTTGCTTAAATGGTTATGATTTGACCTGAGCTGTTTTGTTGTTATGCCCTCTTTTATCTCAATCTCCCTTTTTAAAATTATTTACTTTTTTATTTCTATCTTTTTAATTAAGGGAAAAATAAAAAAATAGCAGGCTACATTATAGTAACCCATTTTGATTTCCTATCAACTTGATTTGAAACCTTGTATAGCCCTCACCATCTTGCTTTGACTAATTTCCCCCTATTCTGCTTTGCTTGATAGTACCAAGTTCGAAAGTATAGGCAAAACTGTGAAGACAATAAGATTCATTATGATGCCCATTCTGGTTGACTATTATCTTCTTTTAAAGTCCTGTAATGCCTCCAATGTTTTGGTTTAATTCTTTACTGTTTTGTTCAATTTTATTATAACTGACAATATAGGCAATTCTTTTTAAGATAGCAAGAGGCAGTATGATAACCATTGTTGATCACCTAGTACTTTGTTTTTTTACATTATCTATTATGTCCATCCTTTTGATTTGATTGACTCTGTTCTGTTATGGCACATTTGGTTTTATTCTCTTCAAAAAAAAAAGTAATAAGAATTGTGGGAGTAATAGAACCCAAAATGTGTAATTGTCATTGTACAAAAGAAAGGAAGAGAAAGTGTTCTAAAGAATATAACTGCATATATATTGAAGTGTATAAGATAGATGACCATATTACTGAGTTTTGTTGGATCACTGAACAAAACTGTTTCCAGTCTCACTGTTTGAAAGTCCACTTTATATGCTTTAATTTTGTAACTTGAACAACTATTTCTAAGACAACAATATGTATAATCTATTAACTCGTGATTTCCTACTGTTTATGTTTTCTGAAATTGTGTATGACTTGTACCCTTTTTCGTTTTCTCCTTAAGTAAAAAAAGTGGTAAAAGAGTAGATCATAAATGTCCTCACTGGAAAACATGTAAGCATGCAAGGGGATGGTCATTTTAATTAGTCGGCTTAAATTATCTAGCTATGAATACATGTATGGAAATATCATCTTGTTCCCCATAAATATATACAAGTATCCTTTGTCAGTTAAAATAAGATATATTGTGGAGAACTAGACATCCACAGCTTGGTGTGCTCCATGCCCAGGGCCTGCAGTGGGGCCAAGGCCCTCAGATTCTTCTGGACTGGGGCTGCCCTGACACCAGCAGGATGTAGACTGGGGTCCCACAGCACCGCAGAGATCCTGCTCAGGCCCTGCCCACAGGCCCATGGCACCCACCTCAGCTGTCAGGTGACCTTCCCCCCAACTCCTGTGACCAAGGAGAGGACTGTCGAGCTCAATGTCTATTGTGGGTGCTGAGCTAAGATGGTGGGAGTCCTGGGGGGGCAGAAGGGATGGGGATGCAATGGTCAGAGAGTCTGTGATCCCCAGATTCATGACTGAATCCTGAGCCCCAGGTGAGGGTGATGGAGGTGGCCTGGGAGGCAGGTGGGGGACAGCTTATCAACCTCCCACACAGGACGAGTGCACCTGTATTGGGGACCAGGGAGACCCTGTCCCTCCCACAGCGTGAGGTATAGACAGAAGGCGCCATGGATGAGGTGGGGTCTCTTCTGTCCCTGCATCTGCCTGTGCCTGCACCTCAGACTGGCAGCCTCCTCAGCTGCAGAGATCAGTTTCTGTCACTGATCAGCCGCCAGCCCGTGGGCTCTGTCGAAGATGCAGGGGGCTGCAGAGAGCAGCTGGGCTTTGATCCCAGGCTGCAGAGCAGAGCCATGGGGACGCCTGCCCATGCTGTGCTGCTTCCCCTTGTGTTTCTGGGGGTTCCGGGTGGTGGTGAGGAGGAAAGTCCAGCTGTGCACCCAGAACTCACTTCGCCCCTCCTCTCAGATCCCCCTCAGGGCCTGACAATCAGTGTCACCACAGCAGGTGACAGAGGTAAGTGGGATGTCCCTCTGTGGGGGCTTACAGAGCTCAGAGCCATCTGGAAACCAAACACATGGGTTCACCATAGGAAGCGGGGAGGAGCTCTCTCTTTGCAGGGTGAGAAAACTCTTTTTGTACCACACAGGCAGCTAGGAGGAGGCACCGTGGTCTAAAGCCTTGGTACTCAACAGGGCACAAGGGACCACGGAGCCCCTGGAGTCCTGACAGCCCTGCACTGCAGCCTCTGTCTCCTGGACAGAGCCAGGCTGCTGTGCGCCTCCTTCTCTTCCTTCGCTGTCCGTGGGTTTTGCCGATCCTGTCTGTCTCCCACGGTGTTCCCTTCACCGTGTGGAGTTCAGGGAACCATAATGGAAATGGATCTCTTTGTTTGACCTTTCATTTACTTACATCAATGATATTCATCTAACAAAGACTCCACCCAGTTGGTTTGTTGCCTGGTGGCGGGGACAGGACCCAGGTCCTCAAGGGCCTGTGGGTGGCATTCAGCGGCCTCACAGAGCGGGGCCACTCTGATCCCCTCGGAACCCAGAGTGCACCCTTCAATCACATGGAGCCCTGTGTCCTCTGTTTCTCTGCTTGCTGTCCCCAGGGAGGTGTCTCTCAGGGCCCTTGCTCTCAGTGGGGTCAGCTCGGCCCCCGCTGGCGTCCTGCTTTGCCATCCATCCATGTCCAGGAGCCCCTGTGCTTTCGTCTCCATAAACACCATTTCCTCTTCCTGCTGGGCGATGACACCACATCTACAATGACCCCCGTGAGTGTCCACATATCTCTCTGGGGACCAGGATGGTTCCACATTGGTCTGCTGTGAAGGTGGGGCTAGGGACATTGCTCTGAGTGCGTGTGAGGCTGTTTCAGTCCTGGGATCCGGGTCTGTGAGGAACTGCGGGGACCCAGACGATGGGGCCTGGGGGCTGCTCTGCCCCTTCCTGGGTATTTCCCTGTGGTCCCTGAGGTTGTCCTTCCTGTGTCACCTCCACTGTGTGTCACTGTACTGTGTGCAAGTGCCACACTTCACGTCTTCAGTCTACTCTTGGTGGCACCTAAAGGGACCATTCTGTCACCCTGCTGTGAACATTCCTTGCTGAACCTACACCCCAGTTTCTCCAGGGGGTGCTGCTCTTACTCTGCTGAGCATCATGAACCTCTGTGGCTCTGGTGGCCTCAAGATCTCTGATCAGGAGCCTGGCAGCGGTTCAGGTCCTCAGGTCTCCTCAGCGTGTGGGGAATTCTCTGGGAGGATGTGGAGGCTGCAGGAGCTGGCGTGGGTAAAGAGCTCTGGGGTTTATGTCCAGAAGCCCAAGTGTCAGGTCCCTGTGAGGAAATCCTTCACAGCACGAGAAAGGACCAGGACAGACTCGCTGTGGAACTCCTGGAGAGACTGTCACTCCACATCATCTCTGATAGAAAGAAGCATTGCTTTGGGACAGCCTGCGAGGCACCCGAAGTCCAAACAGCTGCTTCCTGTGTGGACTGAACTCAGCCTGTTTATCCCAAGGTGCTGGGGACAGAGAGGGGCAGGTGGCATCATGCCCTACGGGGCTTTGAAGAATTGACCATCACATTTGGATATTTGAGCAAAAGGAGGCTCAGCGGGTGGTAAGTAGTTCCAGAAGGACAGAGATGTGGACCAGATAGATGGGTCGCAGGCATCCTGGAACACCTGAGGGGTCCCTGCAGGAATGGGTGGATGGATTCAGAGAACCAGGAAGACTCACACAGGGAAACAGAACTCAGCCGTGAGGTGAGCACCGCGCTGACTCAGGCTGCACACGGTAACCCTGGCTGGTGCTGCCTGGGAGAAAAGCCAGACAGGAGCTTAGGCAGGCCCTGAGGCGGATCTGTAGAGACAGATGGGGCAGTCATGGGTCAGGGCTGGGTGGAAGGGCTGGGGAGATGGCTGGGGTGTCGGCTTTCTCTCTGGGCCGACTGTAGTCTTCTACAATTGTGATGGCTGATGCACAGCTCTGGGAATGGGCCAAAGCCCCTGAACTGCACAGTCTAAACCGTGTGCAGATGAGGTGTCCTGACATGTGAAGTGTAAGAAGGGGCAGGCGCGGACTCCGAACACGGCCCCAGTTGCAGAGGAAACAGATGCACTCACCAGGAAATGGGAGCGTGGTACATTACACAGCTTCTGCACAGCCAGATAAACAGCCGAGAGAGTGGACAGGTGGTCTGCAGATGGGAGAACACTTACAGTGACTCAAGACTCGGATCTAGAATGTACAGGAGCTAAAACAGTTGGAGCCTCCAAAACATCAGGGCAAAGGAAACATGGCCAAATGAAAAGCACAGATACTTCACAGAAGTACAAATGGGAAAAAATATGTGAATTAATGCTCAGCATTGCTGACCAGCAGAGAAATGCAAATAAAAACTGAGAATCTATCTTACCCCAACATCATGGGGTACAGCCACTCTCTATAAAGGCTGCTTTGAAATTTTTGGTGGAGATCCCTCACCCCCGCAGTGGTAATGCAGAGAGAAGGAGCTGGGCATCAGAAACTCACATTCAGCTCAGTTCTGCTTCTCTCTGTTTGTGTGGGCTCCTGCCTCACCACTTTATCCATCTCTGTCTCTGATTCCTCATCCCTGGATCTTCAAAGAAGGGGCTCCAATCTGAAAGCCCAGAAAGGCCAGCTCCTGCTGTCCTCTGTGCTGCTGACAACCCCCGCCCCCACCCCCTGCCACACTGACCTGGGAACTGGAGGCAGAATCTGCTCTCAGCCCCTCCCTCAGGACCCAGCCTTCTAGGCTGGAGCTGCCCGGCCTGAAGCCTGGGGATGCTGGTCGATATACCTCCGAGCAGAGAGCAGCCTGGGCTCCCAGCACCGCACCCTGGACCTCTCAGTGCAGTGTGAGTGACCAGAGCCATCTGTTCTGGGAGGGACAGGGTGGGAACATGAGCCAGGCAGGTCCAAGATTTCCAAGGGGGCTGGAACCCCAGGCCTGCAGGACCTGGCTTCTCATCTGCTTGCATGGATGGGCAGTTTGTGTTGGGGACCCAGCAGGTGACTGTCCCTCCCTCTTCCCCTGATCCTGGATGGATCCTCTGACCAGAGGGAGCCCCAGCTCCTCCAGAACAACTTCCCTGTCTGTGTTGCAGATCCTCTGGAGAACTGGAGAGTAACAATGTCTCAAGTAAATGGCACAGGTAGGAGAGGGACAGAGGGACCAGGACAAAGGATGGCCTTTTGAGACATAGCTGGTGGAGCTGCACATGGATTCTCCCACTTCACTCCCCAGTACTGGAAATCCTCGGGAACAGTACATTCCTGCCTGTCTTGGAGGGCCAGAGACTGCGATTGGGTGTGTATTGCCCACAGCAAACCCCCATCCAGGCTGAGCTGGGCCCGGGGAACACAGATCCTGAGCCTCTCATGGCCCTCAGGCTCTGGGGTCCTGGAGCTGTGCCGGGTACAGATGGAGAGTGAAGCGAATGTCATCTGCCACACGGAGAACCCACTGGGCATCTGCAGTGTCTCTCTGAGCCTTTCTGTGCACTGTGAGTTGGGGAGGGGGGACCTCTGGGCCTGGGAAAGCGGACACCTGTGACCCTCCTCCTCCTTCCCATGGATACTGCTCAGCTGCTGGGGCCCTGGAGCTCCTGGGTCTGGGCTGCAGCTGCTCCTCCCAGCCCAGGCCTGCACCATCACTTCACTGGTGGCTCAGGAAGGGGCTGCTGGAGGGGACTGCAGCAATGCCTTCTTCACGGCCACACCCTGCTCACAGACCTTGGGTCACAGCTCACTCAAACTCTGCGTGGCTGAGCTCAGGCCTCCACCTCAGCCTCAGCTGGGAAGCATAGAATGTGCAAGGGATCCAGAGTGCTACTGCCCTGGGGCTGCCAGATCAGGAGCCAAGGGCTGTGGTCTTAGGGAGGAGCGGGTGGATCTGAGGAAGGATAAGTCACAAGGCTCTCTGAGACAGTTTGGGTCTGGAAAGGTGGGGTGCATCAGGGTCCCTGTTCCTTGGCTCCTTGGATGCTGGAGAACATCACAGTAGGTGCTGTTCAGGAGTCCGAGAGTTGAGGACTTGGGCAGGGACAGGGTCTTAGTTGTGCTCCTATTCAGGGAAGCTGGAGAGTCGGGGTGTATGTGTGCATGCAGCTTTCAGGGGGGCTGCTGTCCCTGCTCTGCTTTCTCTCTGTGTCTGTGTTGGCTTCTCCAGGTGAGTGTGGTCCTGTGACGAAAGGCTGTGTGTGTGTGTGTGTGTGTGTGTGTGTGTGGTGTGTGCATGTGTGAGTGCGTGTGTGTGGGTCAGACAGGACCGTGACTGGGAGAACTGCAGCTTGGTGGGACGACCAAAGCAGAATTCTGTGCCACCCCGCCCCGCATCCCGACCACCCTGAGTGTCCTCAGATCTCACTGTGGAGGTGAGCTGGTGCCCTTCACTCCGTACCCTCAGCTGGCTGCCCAGCATCATTCCAGCAGGGACTGCGTCCTGCTGCTCACTGTGAGCCAGGGAAGTGAGGTCCTGCCTCTTCTCTCAGGATGAAGTCCTGCAAGAAGGAGGTGGCAAGGGCGGTGACCGCAGAGAAGGATGCCCCCTGTGCCCGGGTCCTGTGCCCCATGACCTGCCTCTGCAGTAAGTGAAGAGCCCATGAAGAACCGTCCACATCTTTTAAGATGACTAAGGGGTTCCTGATGCCTTTACAAGCTTTTGTTCTGGGTCCCCCAGTCTGGAGGCCAGAACCTCCTCTCACTAAGCTCACTCTCCCCTCTTCCAGGACTTATAGACTTGGGGGTCTTCAGGACCACCCTCATTCTACCCCCACCTACAAGATCCAGATTCCTGAGGCCACACTTGGGTTTGGTGACCTGGTGAGGGGGCCCCTGGAGCTCACTGCACTTGTGTCCTTATGGTACCTTGTCTCCTTGTCACCATGCAGGAGACAGCCAGGGGAAGGGGCTCATGGGCAGGTGTGGAGAGAGCAGGCATGAGCTCTGTGTTTTCCTCTCAGGGTGTCCTTGTGAGTGACCCAAGAGTGTGGTGGGGGGTTCCCTCTCTACATTTAAACCACAGGCCATTGGTTTATTTTGAACCTAGTTGATAGAGTCAGTTTTTGGTTTAGTCCACTGATGGGTAAAAGATAAACATCTTAACGTTGATCAGAGCCAAATTCCTCGCAGTGGCTGGGATGAGGGGCTGGGTGCAGGATTCTGCTCTGATCTTGTTCTGAGCTGTAATCACATGCGTGCTTTGGGAATAGTTACTTCCCATTGGGGAAATGGGGATGAAAATGTTTCCCAGTGAAATATTGTGAAGATTTTTATGATGTGGGCAATTATTAAGATTCAGGCATAACTGGTATCAAGCATCTGTTGAGCAGATGTGGACAAATGAGTGAATGAAGAAATGAATGAAGCCATAGCCAGAGCTTGTGCAAATAACTACATGAGGTCTGAGCGCCCTAAGAGGAGATGAGATCCCCCCACCCCCCGCCGCCCATCCTGGGCAGGCTGTTGAATTGGATTTAGCCTCAGAAATGTGTCATGGGCCACCTCAGTGATGAGCATAGGCAGAATCACCAGGCTGAATTTGAAGAATACAAATCAGAGAACAATTAGAAGTCACTTAACCTTAATGGTATTCAAAGCCCAGCTACATACCTCTGATAAGCTGTCAGTCAGAGTAATTGTCTACACCTTAAGATATCCTGGGCCAGTCACGGAAACTTTTAACTATGCTCAACCCCCTCCTCTTGTTCCTAGAATATTACACTTTTAATAGCTCCCTCCTCTTGTTCCCAGAATATGTCTATATTATGATAAACAGTTCCTTTGCTTCAACAACTCTGCCCAAGCCTACCTGCCTGCCAATGTATGGCTCAACACATGTAGCCAGTTATAAAATGCTTTGTCACTTGTTTTGTACTTCCTACTTCTAAATGCTACATAAACTAAACTCTTTGTAAACTCAAGACATTTGCCTTTGGGAATTATCCCATGACAGCCCACTGACATAAAGATCCTGCAATGGTACACAGGCATAAAGATTAAATCCTGCCTTCTTATGTCCTTGGTGCAAAGAGTCTTCCTTTTGTTTTGGCTTGGGAATTTTCCCACAACAGTGATACATCAGCAGGTGTAAAAGCGTAGCAGGAATTTCAAGTGATCTCTCTCTAGACCAGTATCACGGAGGTCAGACTCCTTCAAGTTCCAAAGGCTTTTGGACCATATGCTGAGGTTAAAATCACAACAACTACCCCACTTCTGGTATCAGAAGCTTTCTTGGTCACTTTTTTTACCTCTTAGTCACTTTCTTGATACAGAGACAAAATACCAACATCCACAAGTTAAAAAAAGAAGGATTTACTGAAGCTCGTGGCTTTTAGAGGTTTCAGTCCATAGTTGCCTGGCTTCAAGGCAGAAATGGAATGAGAGGGGCATCGCAGAGGAAAGCTGCTTCCATCACAGCAGCCAGGAAACATAATGGAAAGGAAGGAGCCAAGGAGGTAGATTTTCCCTTCCACGCCACGCAACCCATTGACTTTCTCTTCCCACCGGAACCCATCTCCAGACAGCAAGCCAACTGTAGGCCCCCACTCCAGCCACCACCCTGAAACCCAACTCTGATCACATGACTCTTTGGAGCCCATTCTCGATCTAAACCATAAGGCTTAAGAAATTAAAACGCAACTAAGGAGAACCAAATCATCTTGCAAATAGGACTGGATAAGGAAGTGAGCAATTTTCATTCTTGGCACTTATTTCAGATGCAAACACTCACAGGCAGGGTTCAGGCAGCGGCTGTGAGCAGGAGACTTGTCTGTGGGTGTGAAGGAGGAACAAGATGGTTCCCAGTGAAAAACACCTAAGAAGGGAGGGGAAGCAGACCAGACAGAGGAAGAATGGGATGCAACCCATCAATAGGCTCAGGCAAGACTCTGGGGGCTGGGTAGCGATGGCCACTAGGTTCGAGGTGATCACACCATCTGAGTAGGAGTAGGAGGCTCCACACTTTGGAGCCCCTGGGAGGCAGTGGCCCGTGAGGTGCTCTCTGTAGACACAACACTGCGTCCTTTATGAGAATCACTTCCCAGGGACCACAATATCCCTCTGAACCAGGTTTATTTTATTTTTTGGTACTGGGGATTGAACTCACGACCTTGCACTTACCAGGTAAGCTACTGAGCTAAATCCCCAGCCCTTGAATCAGGTTTATTGTGTGCATTTGCCAGACAAGGAAACTGAGGAGTAAAGTTACTTGCTCCAAGTCTGGAGTTGAAATGGGGACCAGCAGTGTTATCAGGTGTGCAAGAGCTCCCCACCCCACTGGTGGGACCCTGATGGTATGGACATTCAATAGTCAGGCTGCTTCAGGAATTCTCCCCCCATGCCCCCCTTCCCAGGATGCTCCTGGGGGCCAGCATTTCAGATCTTTTTCTCTGAATATCTGGAGGTGCTAGAGTCCGCCAGAAAATCTTCGGAGCTGTAAATGTTGTCTTCCTCCTCTTCCAGGGCGGCTGTAACTGTAGCAAGGGGTGGGGAGAAGAGGCTGCTCTGCCAGTTCTCCTAGTTGTTATCCTGAAGGGAAGGGGAGAGACTGTTCATACTAGAAAATATTCGTTCACTTATATGCTTTCATAACATATTTGATAATAATATGGCTCATGCTCATTGCCTGTTTCAGAAATGTTGAAACATTTCCACGCTGCAGCGTGGAAACACTCATATCTGCCTTTCCTGGAGGGAAACACCGACACTAATAAACACCCCCCCACCACACTTGTCATTAATGTCAGGCCCGTATTCCTTGCAGGACTCCTGACTCCAGCCTGCTGCACCAGGGCACAGCTGCCCTGCCCTGCCCTGGCCCTGCACATCAGCGGGCAGCAGAGCAGACCCACCCCTCCCCTCACCCAGCCAGCAGCATACAGGGACATAGGGAGCAAGGTGGCCTTCAGGCGAGCCCCCTGTCTCCCAGCAGCTGGGACAGGCTGCACAGGAGTGGGCGGGACACAGGGGCAGGCACTGGCTCAGCCTCACAGCCCTGGGGTGGCTCTGGGTACAGGGCTCAGGCGCACACAGTGGGGAGCTGTGCTGTGAGCCCAGGACACAGAGCACAGAGGACGCTGTGCAGGGAAGGCTGTACTAGCCTAAGGCAGGGTGGATCCTGGTGCTGGCTCCTGTGAGGGGACGGCTGAGTGCAGCCCTGGCTGAGTCCTGCTGGATAGGCACATCGATGTTCCCCTCAGGAGTCACAGGTCAGGCCAGCTGTGCTTTTGCAATGGTTTAATTCAAGGACCACCTTGGGCCACATGGCATCAGTTTGAACTCTGGAGGATCTGGATATGAAGGGACTGAGGTCAGCCATGTGTGTGTACACTATCAGTGTGATGGGTAACCAAGAGACCCTGGACAGCAGGCTGGGGTGGCTTCCCTGTGGGCATCACTGTCTGTGGGCTGTCACACTGCTGCTGAGAGGGCTGAGCACTCTCTGTGTCCCTCTGCAGGTGAGGACACTCCAAGCTCAGCCCTGTACCCTGTGCACCCTGGCCCTGCACCTCTTCCCTTGGCCGACTCTCATCTGATCTCACAGTGACAGCCAAA